TCAGGCGGAAGACCCAATACTATTATGGGCTACTGAACTCTTTTAGAATATTTTACTGAGTTAACACACCTATAATATTCAAATAATGGAACTTAATCAAAAAAGGGGATACAGATGAATGTCCATTTTGTGTCTGTGTATTCAAAATGGTTAGGATAGATATATAGCTACATTCTCTTAATTCAAGGAATAGAGGGATTGGATTTGTTCTAATAGTGTTTGTAAATAGGATATCATTTCTCCATCTTGTATAACAAACAACCACTAGGAAGGTAGTATGCAATGTGTTAATTATTGAAACCGTCCTACCAATTTGATTTGAAACAGTCTCACTGCTATTTATTTCTCAATAAAATTATGGGAAAAAAAAAGAAACAACTTCCTCAGGTCTAGGCATAAACTATGCCATTTTTCAGCCCAGATAAAAGGACAGAACATGTGGACACCTGCACCATAAGGTAAAACTCCAGTTTCCTTTCCACAGGAAAGAAGTGGAACAAGCCTGTGTGTCTCTTGTCTCATTGGCTTCTCTCCCTCACTGTGCCTTGCTGCAAGACTCGTTAACACACCTGTATACAGGCAGACGGTGGTTTGTGTGACAAGGCTCTCCATCTCCACAGAGGTGGCTTTGAATAAATCCTTTTTTCTTTTTACCACAATAAAAAAAAAAGAAAAAGAAAAAAATCCATCTTTTTTGTATGGCTAAGCAATGAAATAGAATCTAAGTTTAAAATGCCAAATACTGTGTACTACAAAATCTAAGTAATTAGCACTTCAGGGATTCTTAAGCCACTTGAAAAATTTCTGGTTACATATGACATTACAAGACAGAACCCTTAAGTGTGTGCGATTCAAAATGGGGAAAAGATAAGCAACGTTCAGCTTGGCTTGGGTGTGTCAGTGTATTTTAGATCCTTTGTGCAGGATACTGCTCAAACCAAAAAACAAAGTGTTACCACCTGGCTCCTGATTTCTTTTTTTTACTTTATTCTTTTGAGAGAGGGCCTTGCTATACTGTAACCCTGGCTAGAATTCTTGATTCTCCTGTCTCGTCCTGCCCAATGCTGGGATTAGAGGTGTCTTCACCATACCTCACTGCACGTGCTTTTTAAAAATAAAAGACGTACCTCCTCATATCAAGCTCCCTCCCTCCCAAACCTGGCCTGTGGCAAGCTAGCCTTCTCCAGGACCACGCTAGCTCATTCCACAGGACCAATTCTTTTTTTCTTTTTTAAATTAATTTTATTTTGAAAAGTAAAAAACAAAAGTAAGTACAAAAGTTAGAAATGGGCCAGGGAGATGGCTCAGTAGAGTAAGTGCTTCCCTGGCAAGCGCAAGGACCTGAGTTCAATCCCTGGTTCCACAAAAAAAAAAAAAAAAATCAGAAACTAAGACAGAAACAGGGCAACATAAAACAATATATGTTACAGATTTCCAAAACAAGAATAGCTGATTAACAATCGTTGGTATAGGACCAATTCTTTTTAATGACCATATGTACTTTTTTCCTCATTATCAGATATATTTTAGCTTCACCATACATCTTCCTATTGTCTACAGATAAATAAAACTATACTGCAGGGTTCTTAACCTAAGATTAATGCATAGCTTTAATGCAATCTGGGAGCAGGTGATATTCAATTCCAACATCTATTTGCAATATTTCTGAAATTATATGCAGCCCTTGTGCAAATGTTTCTGAGGAAGAGCCTACAGTTTTCACCAGCCTCCCCAAGGGAATCTATGAGCCAATAAAAAGGTTAAGGACCACTGTTCTAATGGTATCCACAGGAAGTAAAAGAGCAGTACAGGAAACAAAACTCCCACATCTCACTGAGCTTTCACTCAATTCTCCTACTCAGCCTAGGTACTGAGGCACATAAGCAGAGCTCATCTTACAAAAACAAGAAAGTGGGGCCCCACCTTTAGCAGCTTAGCTTTCATGGTGGATGTGATGGTCGTGGGGTTAATGAACTGGAAGGAAGGGGCAGCATTGTTGGGGTACTG